GATGATTGTCTATCGGCGGAAACATTGGAGAGAATCTTGTCAACTATCTTCGCAACTCGCTCAGCAGTGGATCGAGGAAAGTAAGAGCTAACTTCATCGGAGAATGTGGGATCGTTATCGAAAATCCATTTCCATCGGTCGTCTCGAGTACCCCGTCTGACAGAAGCCGGCATTTCACGATAATGTCTTCTAAAATTTAAGAAATTGAAAATTATATATGTCGTAGCCGATTAAGGATTTCAGCCGAAGAAGTCTGAGACTTCTTCGGCTAGCCGATTAAGTCTCAAATTTTTTCGCTAGCGAAACCTTCTTCGGCTAGCCGATTAAGTCTCAGACTTCTTCGGCTAGCCGAAGAAGTCTCAAAAATGAAATCTTGAGTTATGTATTGACTCAAGTCAATACCACAAACTCAAGCTCTCTAAAAGGCGCTTAAAAGCTAAAAACTTTCACAAAGCTTAGCAAATAACCAAAGATAACAGGATCAAGTTGATGTTCCAATTTGTCCGTAATGAAAAAGAAGCGTTACATCAAAATACCATATTTCCTCTAATAGTGTCCCGGGGCACTATTTTTCAGGACGATGCCATTAGGCTGCAACACCATTTTTTGGTCACTACACCGCATTCACTGAGTCCAGAACTGTTCAAATTTTTGTTTCATTACAGGGTCTAAGCTCAGAGAATTGAGGTTTTGAACTCAGTGAATTAAATTTCTGGACTCAGAACCAGTTCTGAGGGCCGTAGATCTTCTGAAGGGCGTAGATCTTTTTGGCTTGCATCGAACTGCACCGCATCTTGAGAAAAACACCAAACTTATGAAAATTGGTAAGTTGAGCTCTATTAGCCCTCAAGCTTTTAGAGATTTGAATTTTTGACCCTAAGGATCCTCCCTTATGATTTTAGCTATGACACCCACAAAGAGTAGCCCCTGTGGTGCATTAACTATTAGCTGGATCAGTTTGTTTGGTGTTTTATTAAAAGCAAAAATCTTAAATTTTAAAAATGATCTTTATTTCATTGGTTATACATAAAAACTTACATTTCTAGAATAAAAAGTGTAGCAAAAGAAAAATGGCAATAATTTTTGTTGAAAAACTCTTTAGAATGCGTTTTTAGCTTTTAAGCGCCTTTTAGAGAGCTTGAGTTTGTGGTATTGACTTGAGTCAATACATAACTCAAGATTTCATTTTTGAGACTTCTTCGGCTAGCCGAAGAAGGTTTCGCTAACGAAAAATTTCAGACTTAATCGGCTAGCCGAAGAAGTCTGAGACTTATCAGCTAGCCGAAGAAGTCTGAGACTTCTTCGGCTGAAATCCTTAATCGGCTACGACATATAGAATTTAAATCTAATTGCTAAGAAGGCCTACAAGTTAAATCAAACAACTCAAATGTTAAATCTTTCCTGGTCTCTAGAAAGAAGCATGTTTTTAGTAGAGGCTTAGATTATAATATTTGAAAAAGACGAAAAAGTAATCAGAAAAGTTCACAAACCTTTCAAGCCACTCGATAACACCTCTCGCACTTAGCTCTGACTTGGATCGAAGGAGTTCATCGTTGACATTTTCTAGAATATTGACATTTTATTGGAGGGCCACTTTTTTTTCTTCAAAATACTTTTTTGGCGTAGTTTTATGCGTAGATTCCGAAAAACACAACGAGCGCTTGTGCAAATGAGTTTCAAGGCTCCAAAGTGCGCGCTCATACAGTCTGATGAGAGGGATAGACATAGGGAGGAGGTCTAAAAATGGTCTCTCAAAACATTTTTGAAGCCAAAAACACTTCTTCTGGCATAATTTAATCTACAGATTACGTTTCTGATCAAATTCGAGCAAAATATTTAAATTTGCTTTGCCTCTACCAGTCAATTTAAGTTAGAAAATGAATATTTAGTGGTTAAAAATGGTTTTAGCTCTAGTTTTGACCTTGAAAAATGCCCCAATAGTCGATCGCTTGGGCTCCAGTTAGTGAAGTAATACAGGGTGGCCCATAATTAACCTTTCATGTTCACTTTAGGACACCGAACCGTATAGTTAATTGAGTATTTCATACTTTTTATGTTTTTGTTTTTATTATTTAGATTAATTTAAGCTTTTATCTCAAAATTTATGTTCGAATTTAGAATGGCGAAGATTTTTCCTCATCGAAACTCGATCATCGCTCTTCACAGACAAGGAGTTTGCGCCGTCAACATTTCAAAACGTTTGGGGTATCAAAAGAAGGGTGGTTTCGACTTCAATCAAGAGATACAAAGAATTGGGAACAAATTTGGAGCGTCCTCTGGACGCGATCGTCGCGTCTCAGTGACCACAAAAGCCAACATTGACAAAGTGAGAAAGTGGGTGAAACGAAACTCCCAATCGATCGGCTCGCAAAATGGCCAAACAACTGACAATTTCTCGACGATCGCTGGGCCTAATCATGAAACTATCTAAAGCTGAAGCTCTGCAAGCAATCCAGAGGCACAATTTTTGTCAGACGCTCCGGAGATGAAGAGAAAAGTTCGATTGAAAGCGCTTTTGCGACGGTTTCAAGCTGGAAGACACCGATTTTGTTCAGATGAGAAGGTTTTACTGTCGAGCAAAGTTCCCAATAAGCAAAATGATCGGATTTACTGGATTTCTAAGCCCGATAACGTCGTTTTCTCGCACCGGGCACCCTCAATCTCTCATGGTGTTTGCGGGTATCACGGTTGATGGCAAGACCCCAATGAATCTTTGTCCCCGCGGGAATTACGATCACAAAAAAAAAACTATTTGGACATTCTCTCAAGATAAAAGTTCTTTCCTGGGCTCAAGGACACTTCAAGACCAAGCCGTGGACATTTCAGCAAGACGGTGCAAACTTGGCTCAAGAACAACTGTCCCGAGTTCATCAACTTAAATCAATGGCCACCATCATCAACTGGATCTTAATCCGCTTGATTTTTCTGTCTGAGTGTTCTTGAATCAAAGGCCTGATCAAAACCACATTCCATGTTGAATTCTTTGAAGAATGCGTTGAAAAAAACATGGAATGGGCTTGATATACCCTATTTGGGCTGCGCTACGGTCGACGCCTTCCCCAAGCTTCTCGGTGAATGCGTCAAAGCCAAGGGAGCTAAGCTAAGTTTGAAATCAAATAGTTCTTCCATTGTTATATTCCGAAGAATAGATTGTCTATCGAAAAGTATTTATTTTTGATTCTGGCTCTACAGCCTGATGATACGGAGTTACCGTAATTATGCGCCACCCTGTACAATACTCCAAGCGCGCCGTTTGGAGCCCAGAAACTCGAGCTTCAAATGGCTTTTTCCTCTTATTGTCTTTTGGAATCTGCGCATAAAATTAGCCCAGAAAAAGTGCTTTTGAAGAAAAAAAGTGTCCCCCAATTAGGATCAGTACTCCAGTATTAAATTTATAGTATTAAAGAGCATACCAATTGCATTTCTAGCCTTCTATTCTTCGCAGCTATTTCCACCAGCCCTTCGTTCACCTCTTTCAGCTGCACATCCGTCTCCAGACACTTGACTCGATCACTAAAAGATAGCATAATATACAATAAATTATATTGACTATTACCTTTCTTCGTCCGAATTCTCGTTTTTCTTCCTCTTGGACGACACTTATTAGAATTACCAAAATGATTAGCAATAAGAAAGGAGCCAACACTAAAGTTAAAGTTACTACACATAGATGAAATAAATGGTAGAAATTCCAGATTTAAGAGCATTTAAGAGCAACTGCTAGCTCTATAAAATTCATCAAAGTAAGCTAGGGATAAAAATGATGATTTATTTAATAAGAAGCATTACGCCAAAACAAAACAAAAAAGTGTGGTTGGAAAAATGCTGAGGCTTTGAAAAAGATTTCTTCGAAAAAAGTATCGACTACGCGACTGTACCAGGGCTAGTGCTCTTCTATTAGAGCATTTATGGTAGTATGGTGCAAAACTGGTTTTTGGGGATTTTTGGCATAAAATTTCAAAACTTTCTACTAGCATCGTAATGCATAATAAACCCTACTAGGATAAATGCAATATATAGGTTTAGGCTTCTTGAGAACTCTAAGCTCGATTTTTCACATTCTGATGTTGCTACCGTAAATACTCTAATATGTAGAAGCGCACTCCCAGAGGGGGAGGGAAAAATTAGAAGCGCATGCGCTTCTATTAGAGTATATACGGTATTAATTTCTTTTCGCTTTAAACCTAACATATGGTGTTTTATCTTTTTCAACGTTAGTCACAATTTATTTAATGAACACAGTTTAACAATGTCACAAACTTACAAGAAAAAAACGAAATAAAATTCTGTAGTGAACGTAATCAGCGAAACGATGAAGGCATACCATTTAAAACCAGATCAAATTCGAGAAAATTGGCAACGAAAAGTAGGTAAGTACATATTTATGCACAATAAGTTGCGGAAAGATTTAGATTGACCTACTAGGTAACCCCATCTCATTAACAAATGAAAAGAACAATATTTTTGGAGTTGTTCGACAAGATGTTTTGAAATTTAGCCAAAACAAAATAGATAGCAGCTATTAATGTGTAATTGGTCAGTTTGATGAGTAGAAGCTGGTTTGTGAACTCTCGCCGGAAAGCTTTCGCAAAGAAGCAAGAATCGATCATCAGGGTTTTGTGTAATTGTCACGTTTATTCCTAGAAATACTAGGTGATAAACGAGTCTTTAATCCTTTAAGGGATGAATTTCTGTATTTTCTCTTTCAAAGTAGCAAAGTAATGGAAATTTGAGAAACTCTGTACAAAATCTACAACCTAAGCTTGTCAAAAGATGTAAAAACAAACCCAAGTTTCCGTTTTCGGCAAAAAGTTGAGCGGTTGATGTATCAAAAGCAAGACAATCAGATTGTGAAATGGCGTGCGCTACTCCCTCATGAATGGACCGCGGCGTGGCTTCCCATACAAGGCGACGACGATTAGTTTACAATTCAAGCCTAAATACTCCAGTGCTTTGTTCGTGAAAGTTTCTTATACCTGTAAATAAAGTTTTCTGCTTCAAAGGCAGATAAAACCCTAGATAAACAGAATAAAACGGTTAATAAACAAATTGACTTACCTCTGCACTACAATCCAGCGAATCCGTTGGTCCAACTGCTGTCACAGGTGCCACACTTTGTGTGGAAGAACCAGTCGTGGGATTGGCAACGGCAACTAAACAACTTCTTTAGATTCCAAAATACTTCTCTCACTAGCTTGCCAACTTTTGACAAATTCCGGAGCGATTTAGGCATGTCTAGCGAATAAAAATATAGAACCGTCCTGGACGAGTTTAGAAAAGAAAATGAAAACGCCAGCTAATGGAAATTTTAGAGTTAAAGTAAAAAGATGCACTTTAAAGCATGACGTTAATGAACTATACAATATTACGTCCATATCTGCACTCCAGAACCTCTAGGTAAGCTTTCGCCTTATCATTGATTAATTATAAAGTGATGGCCGTTCCTAAAGTTTAAAAATTACCCGCAGGAGCGCTTCCTTGAACGCGAGCCATGCTCTTTTGCGTCTGCGGAGAAGCGATTCCCTAAAAATAATCGTTATGAAATCGAATTCAAAGTAAGCACGCCACCATACAATTATTTCCAAGTTCTAAATCTTTTTTGAACAAAGTGCGATGCTTGCCGAAATTTACCTGCAAAGGCCCAGGCGAATTGCAGCTTTCTCGTGAAGTCGGAATATGGAAGTTGTTCCCAGATCTACCACCACCGGTACCCCCACCTAAAGAAAAGTTTCAACAATTTTTACAATCATCTAGTTTACCTGGTGGCAGTCCATTCGGACCATTAGAAAAGGACATCCTTTGGAGTAAGGCCAAGCGATTATCCTAAAAAAGCTCGTGAAGCAACCAAATAGAAAGACTCTCAAAGAAAAATTGAACAAAAAGATAAGTAGCAATCAACATGATTGATATTTAAGATTCGCACAATGTCTTACGCGTCTGCTCACTCTAAATTAACCAATGAATTTAAGAGTTCAAGAGGTGACAAATCAAAACCGCAAAGTTGTTTAATTTTTCTCTAGCTCAGCAAAGACAAGAAATTTTTAGCTCAAGTAGCAAACTGACAGCATGTACTGCACAAAATAAGAAGTATCGCAAAAAAAAGCAGCACTCTTCTTTGGTCATTCGATAAGGGAAGGTGGAGGTGTGTGAGAGAGCGAAATGCATGTTTAAAGGCAAGAGACGCAGTTGCACCAGCTGACTAGAAATCGATTGCGGTGGGGGTGTGTGTGTTTTCTGCTCGTTCCACACCTCGTTGTTTAAGTTCTTTTTCTGTTCTTTTTCATTATAAAAACAACCAAAACGTTATGATTTGATGGGATTTTTCAATGGGGATTGGGACAAAGCAAAACAAAATTTTATTCGGCAGAACAATTACATGGAATGGTAGCACAAATTGCTTTAAGAACATGCTGTTGCTCAGTTGTATAACCCTGGCCTGAGATCTCAAGTCCATCGCTCACATCAGATGATTGTCTATCGGCGGAAACATTGGAGAGAATCTTGTCAACTATCTTCGCAACTCGCTCAGCAGTGGATCGAGGAAAGTAAGAGCTAACTTCATCGGAGAATGTGGGATCGTTATCGAAAATCCATTTCCATCGGTCGTCTCGAGTACCCCGTCTGACAGAAGCCGGCATTTCACGATAATGTCTTCTAAAATTTAAGAAATTGAAAATTATATATGTCGTAGCCGATTAAGGATTTCAGCCGAAGAAGTCTGAGACTTCTTCGGCTAGCTGATTAAGTCTCAAATTTTTCGCTAGCGAAACCTTCTTCGGCTAGCCGATTAGTCTCAGACTTCTTCGGCTAGCCGAAGAAGTCTCAAAAATGAAATCTTGAGTTATGTATTGACTCAAGTCAATACCACAAACTCAAGCTCTCTAAAAGGCGCTTAAAAGCTAAAAACTTTCACAAAGCTTAGCAAATAACCAAAGATAACAGGATCAAGTTGATGTTCCAATTTGTCCGTAATGAAAAAGAAGCGTTACATCAAAATACCATATTTCCTCTAATAGTGTCCCGGGGCACTATTTTTTCGAACGTGCCATTAGGCTGCAACACCATTTTTTGGTCACTACACCGCATTCACTGAGTCCAGAACTGTTCAAATTTTTGTTTCATTACAGGGTCTAAGCTCAGAGAATTGAGGTTTTGAACTCAGTGAATTAAATTTCTGGACTCAGAACCAGTTCTGAGGGCCGTAGATCTTCTGAAGGGCGTAGATCTTTTTGGCTTGCATCGAACTGCACCGCATCTTGAGAAAAACACCAAACTTATGAAAATTGGTAAGTTGAGCTCTATTAGCCCTCAAGCTTTTAGAGATTTGAATTTTTTGACCCTAAGGATCCTCCTTATGATTTTAGCTATGACACTCCACAAAGAGTAGCCCCTGTGGTGCATTAACTATTAGCTGGATCAGTTTGTTTGGTGTTTTATTAAAAGCAAAAATCTTAAATTTTAAAAATGATCTTTATTTCATTGGTTATACATAAAAACTTACATTTCTAGAATAAAAAGTGTAGCAAAAGAAAATGGCAATAATTTTTGTTGAAAAACTCTTTAGAATGCGTTTTTAGCTTTTAAGCGCCTTTTAGAGAGCTTGAGTTTGTGGTATTGACTTGAGTCAATACATAACTCAAGATTTCATTTTTGAGACTTCTTCGGCTAGCCGAAGAAGGTTTCGCTAGCGAAAAATTTCAGACTTAATCGGCTAGCCGAAGAAGTCTGAGACTTAATCGGCTAGCCGAAGAAGTCTGAGACTTCTTCGGCTGAAATCCTTAATCGGCTACGACATATAGAATTTAAATCTAATTGCTAAGAAGGCCTACAAGTTAAATCAAACAACTCAAATGTTAAATCTTTCCTGGTCTCTAGAAAGAAGCATGTTTTTAGTAGGGCTTAGATTATAATATTTGAAAAAGACGAAAAAGTAATCAGAAAAGTTCACAAACCTTTCAAGCCACTCGATAACACCTCTCGCACTTAGCTCTGACTTGGATCGAAGGAGTTCATCGTTGACATTTTTCTAGAATATTGACATTTTATTGAGGGGCCACTTTTTTTTCTTCAAAATACTTTTTTTGGCGTAGTTTTATGCGTAGATTCCGAAAAACACAACGAGCGCTTGTGCAAATGAGTTTCAAGGCTCCAAAGTGCGCGCTCATACAGTCTGATGAGAGGGATAGACATAGGGAGGAGGTCTAAAAATGGTCTCTCAAAACATTTTTTGAAGCCAAAAACACTTCTTCTGGCATAATTTAATCTACAGATTACGTTTCTGATCAAATTCGAGCAAAATATTTAAATTTGCTTTGCCTCTACCAGTCAATTTAAGTTAGAAAATGAATATTTAGTGGTTAAAATGGTTTTAGCTCTAGTTTTGACCTTGAAAAATGCCCCAATAGTCGATCGCTTGGGCTCCAGTTAGTGAAGTAATACGGGGTGGCCCATAATTAACCTTTCATGTTCACTTTAGGACACCGAACCGTATAGTTAATTGAGTATTTCATACTTTTTTATGTTTTTGTTTTCATTATTTAGATTAATTTAAGCTTTTATCTCAAAAATTTATGTTCGAATTTAGAATGGCGAAGATTTTTCCTCATCGAAACTCGATCATCGCTCTTCACAGACAAGGAGTTTGCGCCGTCAACATTTCAAAACGTTTGGGGTATCAAAGAAGGTGGTTTCGACTTCAATCAAGAGATACAAAGAATTGGGAACAAATTTGGAGCGTCCTGGACGCGGACGTCATGTCTCAGTGACCACAAAAGCCAACATTGACAAAGTGAGAAAGCGGGGTGAAACGAAACCCCAATCGATCGGCTCGCAAAATGGCCAAACAACTGACAATTTCTCGACGATCGCTGGGCCTAATCATGAAACTATCTAAAGCTGAAGCTCTGCAAGCAATCCAGAGGACAATTTTGTCAGAAAAAGTAATCAGAAAAAACCAACTCCTCAAGCCACTCGATTACACCTCTCGCGCTTAGCATTGACTTGGATCCAAGGAGTTGACCATTGGCACGTTTCTAGAATATTGGCAGCCCTGAACAGCCCTGAACAAAGAATTATACTTAAGAGCACCACAAGATGCAATACCTTGACCCAGTTGTCGGGATCAGTCCAGAGAAGATCGACGCCATTGATGAATTGGCTGGGTCTTCATGACGAGTCAAGTTGCTAAAAGCACACTTTGAATAGGCAAGTCACAGAAAAAAAAACCCGCGGCTGTTTGATTGCACAAGGAGTGTTAAGAATTTTTGATGTCTCGTTGTTTGAGTTCTTTTTCATTATAAAAACAACCAAAACGCTATGATTTGATGGGGGTTCTTCAATGGGAGATTAAGACAAATCAAAACAACATTTTATCCAATACAAGAGTATTCAATAGTAAGATTGCATGGAATCGTAGCACAAATAGCTTTAAGAACATATTGTTCTTCAGTTGAATGACCCCGGCGTGAGATGTCAAGTCCCTTTCTCGATACAGATGATTGCCTATCGGCGGAAGCATTGGAGAGAATCTTGTCAACTATCTTTGCAACTCGCTCAGCAGTGGATCGAGTAAGATCGAACTTCCTTGGAGAATATGGGATCATTCTCGAAAATCCATTTCCACCAGTCGTGTCGAGTACCCCATTTGACAGAATCCGGCATTTCACGATCATTTCTTCTAAAATTTGAGAAATTGAAAATTATATAGAATTTAAATCTAATTGCTAAGAAGGCCTTACAAGTTAAATCAAACAACTCAAATGTTAAACCTTTCCTAGCCTCTAGAAAGAAGCATGCTTTTAGTAGGGCTTAGATTATAATATTTGAAAAGATAAAAAAAAGTAATCAGAAAAAACCAACTCCTCAAGCCACTCGATTACACCTCTCGCGCTTAGCATTGACTTGGATCCAAGGAGTTGATCATTGGCACGTTTCTAGAATATTGGCAGCCCTGAACAGCCCTGAACAAAGAATTATACTTAAGAGCACCACCAAGATGCAATACCTTGACCCAGTTGTCGGGATCAGTCCAGAGAAGATCGACGCCATTGATGAATTGGCTGGGTCTTCATGACGAGTCAAGTTGCTAAAAGCACACTTTGAATAGGCAAGTCACAGAAAAAAACCCGCGGGCTGCTTGATTGCACAAGGAGTGTTAAGAATTTTGATGTCTCGTTGTTTAAGTTCTTTTTCATTATAAAAACAACCAAAACGCTATGATTTGATGGGGTTCTTCAATGGGAGATTAAGACAAATCAAAACAAAATTTTATTCAATAGCAAGAGTATTCAATAGTAAGAAGTGCATGGAATGGCAGCACAAATAGCTGTAAGAACATACTGTTCTTCAGTTGAATAAACCTGGCGTGAGATGTCAAGTCCCTCTCCCGATGCAGATGATTGTGTATCGGCGCAGGCATTGGAGAGAATCTTGTCAACCATCTTTGCAACTCGCTGAGCAGTGGATCGAGGCCAGGCAGAGCGAACTTCATTGTAGAATGTGGGATTGTTATCGAAAATCCATTTCCATTGGTCGTGTCGAACACCCCGTCTGACAGAATCCGGCATTTCACGATAATGTCTTCTAAAATTTAAGAAATTGAAAATTATATAGAATTTAAATCTAATTGCTAAGAAGGCCTTACAAGTTAAATCAAACAACTCAAATGTTAAATCTTTCCTAGCCTCTAGAAAGAAGCATGCTTTTAGTAGGGCTTAGATTATAATATTTGAAAAAGATAAAAAAAAAAGTAATCAGAAAAAACCAACTCCTCAAGCCACTCGATTACACCTCTCGCACTTAGCATTGACTTGGATCCAAGGAGTTGATTGTTGGCACGTTTCTAGAATATTGGCATTTTATCAAGAATTTATGGTATTAAAGAACATACCAATTGCCATTCTAGGCTTTTAGTCTTCGAAGCCATTACCACCCGCTTATGGTTCGCCTCTGCCAGCTGCTCAAGCTTCTTCAGATACTCCATCTCCCAATTGACTCGATCACTAAAAAAGATAGCATAATATACAATAAATTATATTATTTAAATACCTTTCTTCGTCCGAAACGTCCGAATCGTCCGAAACGTCCGAATCGTCCGAAACGTCTTCATCGTTTTTCTTCCTCTTGTTGGCCGACATATTGAAATTACCTAAAATGATTAGCAATAAGAAAGGAAGCGAACACTAAAGTTAAAGCTACTACATATAAATGAAATAAATTGTAGAATTTCAGATTTTAAGAGCAGTTAAGTCTAAGCTCTATAAAATTCATCAAAGTAAGCTGGGGACAAAAATGAGAATTCGCTTAATAAGAAGCATTACGCCAAAACAAAAGTGTGGTTGGAGAAAATGATGAGGCTTTGAAAAAAGATTTCTTCGAAAAGGTATCGACTACACTGACTGTACCAGGGCAGTGCTCTTCTATTAGAGTATTTATGGTGGGTATGGTGCAAAACTGGCTTTTTGGGATTTTTAGCATAAAATTAAAACTTTCTACTAGCATCGTAATGCATCATAAACCCTGCTAGGATAAATGCAAATTATGGATTTAAGCGTCTTGAGAGCTCTAAGCTCGATGTTTCACATTCTGATGTTGCTACCGTAAATACTCTAAAAGAAGCGCACCCCAGAGGGGAGGGAAAATTAGAAGCGCATGCGCTTCTATTAGAGTATTTACGGTAGTGCTCTCTTTGGAACTAATCGCTTCACAATTATAGAACCATTAAATACAAGTTACCCTAAAGTCGCGAGTATAAGTTCTGTCTGGTTTTCGCATGCAAATTGACGGCTGTCTCCAAAGTGCGGTGTGTCGAGGGTTCGAACCCCGCTGCAGCATAACTTTTTTGCTTTTTAAGAACAATAATAGAAGTAAATTTATTGAGGGTTATAGCAATTTTATGCTGTTATTTGTTGCCCCGGGCGTGGCTCGGCGCGTCCGCCCTGCTCCCTCTCCGGTGCTCAGTCTTATGGATCCCTCCTGGCCTCTTCATCCGGCCAAAGTCCACGTCGACGGTCGAAAGAGATGCTTTCCAGCGTCTTCTTCAACACTATCGTCTGGATGTATCCATGCACATAACAAATAGCAATGGTGATAGGCTGTCACCCTGTAGTATCCCGCGCTCCAAGAACAATAATAAAAGTTTATATAACAATAAAAATGTATAAAAACCCAACAAAAAAGAAATTCAAAGCAATTAAAGCGACATAAAAAGAATTCTGTGCTTAGCTTCGAAACTGATGATCACACCGGGGAAAAATTCCTTTAGGAAGAGTCTTGTGCTTGAAAATGAGCATCGGTGGGAGTTTCGATCCATCGGCTAGAATTCCCGAGCACAACTGTTCGGAATTCGTCTTCTCATTTCCCGTTGAAGCAATTGAAATACAACCCTTTCCCTATTACTTCGACTGTTCGGTTGGAAACAATATCGATCTTTCTCCACATCCGGTCATTTGCTTCAATCCTCGCTTAGCTCGATTTGTTTGGTGAAGTCATCAAGTGCCGGCTCAGCTTGTTTCCAGCGGTTAATCACTCTGTTCGGCGACTGAATTCGATCGCAGCCGCGTTCGTTCCAAATATCCTCGCAAATTTGACCGCTTCGAGCTTCGTTTCGGCGGTGTACGACTTTCTCCTCATCGTATCTAAAATGAAAAAGCGTTAGTAAATTAAAAATTTAAAAAAACAACAAAACAATAAAAACAAAAAAACAAAAAACAATAAAAATTAAAGAAGAAGAAAATTTTCCATCCCTTTAAATGCCCTTTAAAATATAGAATTCAGAACTTATATTCGGAGTGAACTTATACTGCGACTTGAGGGTACCATAAGGTAAGAGGTAGAACCTAATAAAGAACATCACTTAAAATTAGTAGATATTAACAGTTGCAATCTTCAAATTAGTAGATTCAAAATTAGTTCAAAATACAATCTTCGAACACACAATTTGTATTTATCCGTATTGAAAGAAAGTTCAACTGTTTAGATGTACCTTTTCTTCTCATCTACTTGAAAGCTTTGTCTGGAACTTTTTCTCAAGATGGGACAAGTCAATGATTGATGGATGATTGAGCCGCTTCTTCAGCATTTGAATCGCCGGAGGACGTTTGATACTGGTGCTTTTTGCGTGGGTGCTTTGGGCTTCTTTTAAAACTTGATCGTTGTTTTCGGAATTTTAATTCGCGGTATTTTTCTGGCTTCTTTGGTTTGTTCGAGGACGAGTTTGGTTGTTTAACGACAATTGGAAATTAAAGAAACTTTGGTAGAAGGCTTCATTTTAATTGTTTTGTTTAGGTTTCAGAAGATAAGATGAAGTGGCTGTGTTGCCTAGCAAAGAATGTCTTATGCCTCAGCCTCCACTTCCCGAAGTTGGCCCACCAATTGTTGTTTGCGGGGATATCCATGGGAAGGTATGCTTATTTGAAAGTACTGTGTTTATTGTTGTTGGTCTTTAGTATTCCGGCCTGTTGCGCATCTTCGAGAAAACCACTTTTCCACCTGACGCCAATTTCATCTTTTGAACGACTATGTTGACCGTGGCCAGCAGAATATCGAAATCACTTCGCTCAGGTTTTGCTACAGAATCAAGTGAGTATTTAATCTTTACAATATTATAATCTAGCATGGACGAACTGCTTTGATTTTAGGGTACCCTGAAAAGCTTCTTGATGCTTTGCGGCAATCACGAGGCAATCTACGAGGAGTGCAACCGTCGCTACAAGAGCCAGCGTCTGTGACAATGTTTCCGAGGCACATTCAACTGGATGCCTCTTTTTCGGTCTCGCATCCTCTGCATGCACGGTGGATTCAGCAAATCGAGCATCCACGATTTTTTCTTTCTGTTACTATTCAAAGTGTGCTTTTAGCAACTTGACTTCGTCCTGAAGACTCAACCAATTCATCAATGGCATCGAGCTTCTCCGGACTGATCCCGACAGCTGGGTTGAGGTATTGCATCTTGTGGTGCTCTTTAAGTATAATTCTTTGTTCAGGGCTGTTCAGGGC